CAACAAGCTCCAGTGCTCTCTAGCTCCTGGTTGGGTCTGGTCAGGATAGGAGGGAAGGAGGAGGCTGGAATGGAGGTATGTATTCCTGACCCCTCTCCTTTGAGGTAAGCTTGAGTTGTCAATGTCCTTTGACTGGCCATCACTGGTCCTTTCAAGGCAGTTGTCACTTCACAAGCCTCTCCAGGGCCCTGGGAACCTATTTCTGCCCCCTGCCATCAGGTCTATGGGTGGTGGCTTCTCTGCTGCTGCAAGTCCCAAGTTCCTTCACTATCCCTGTGGTTTATCTGTACTCCACCTTTATAATTAATCTCTTTGTAAATTTACCCTCTTGGAATTAACTTTGAGTGTACTCTGTTTCCTGTTAAGACCATGACTAATACAGATACCATTCTACATACTGAGAATAAAGAGGACATGGTGATTGGGGCCATATCACCACACATGTTATTATGCAGCCCTCTGTCTCAACCCCTGGACTATTTTATGAGTGCTCTCTGTCACCTCATTTTCTTCCCCACCATCGACTTCTTCAGTGACCTCATGAACCAAGGAGGGAACAAAGCTATAGCTGGTTCAAAACCAAACCAGAAACGCTTAATTCATTTTCCTACCTTTCCCCTTATTCTTTTCTACTACCACTGCTCTTGGTGCTATAGACGGTGAAGTCTCCAATCAAAGGCAGATGTTTCGTCTGTCTTCTTTTGTCCCCAGAGTGTGAAACACAATATATGCTAAACAACTGCTTGTATAATGAATACATGGAGGATGGATTTAAAGAAATGTCTATTTATTAAACCTTCTGTTTCCAGGCAGGACAGGGCTGATCTACTTCGCTCCCCTCATTGAGGATGCTTTGTGCTTTTCTTGTGCCTCCATGTACAACACTGCTACTATATTCTGACCACTTGTGTGCTGGTAAATGGTTTTTGTTGTTGTTTTATAATAGTTTTATTGAGATATAATTAATATACCACAAAATTCACCCATTTAAAGTGTACAAGTCAATGGTTCTCATATAGTCACAGAATTGTGCAGTCATCACCACAGTCAAGTTTAGAACATTTTCATTACCCCCAAAAGAAACCATTACTCATTACTCATTAGTGGTCACCCCTCTCTCTTTCCATCTCCCCTTTCCTCCATCTCTTGACAACCACTAATCTACTTTCTGTGTCTATTGATTTGCTTATTCTGGATATTTTATATAAATGAAATCATATAAAATGTGGTTCATTGTGTCTGGCTTCTTTCACTTTGCTCACTGGTTTCAAGTTTCATCCAAGTTGTAGCATGCATTAGTACTTCATTCTTTTTTGTCATGGCTAAATAATATTCTATTATATGCATATGCCACATTTATTTATTTATTCATTATTTGGTGGACAATTGAATTGTTTCCACTGAATGCTGGTAAATGTTTAATATAACTAGCAATCTGGCACACAAAATCCTGATTCATAGCATTTGTGGGGTTTTTTATTTTATATTTTTAGGTAAAATTGGTGGATGACATTATATAAGTTTAAGGTGTACAACATTGTAATTCAGCATTTGTATAAACTACAAAATGATCGCCACCAAAAGTCTAGTTACTATCCTTTACCATACAATTGACTCCCTTCACCCATTTTGCCACTCCCTTCCCCTCAGGTAAACATCAGTCTCGTCTCTATATCTATGAGTTTGTTTTGTTGTGTTTTTGTTTATTTTGTTTTGTTTAGATTCCACTCATAGCATTTGTTGATTTCGATGGTGTAAATACATCACAGCTGACTGCAGCCATGTCACTGGACGTGGAGCTGGAAAGATATGCTAAAATAGGCTCTTTTGAGCTCCTACAAGCCAGTTCTAGCACACCACTCTGACCATCTTGACTGTTGGATCACTCGAGTTACTAGAGATGTGGCCACATGCAGGGAGGTTTCCACACCCTTTAGGATAATAATAATGATAATAACAAAAACAATACAATTGGTGCCAAACTACCAGTATTCTATGCTTGGTTCACTGTCTTCTAGCTGGTCTTCATGCTAGCTCTTCAATAGTCCAAACACATTTTATCTCACAACTTTGGCACTTGCTCCCTCTACCTGGTACACTCTCTCACTGTTTTCCCCAGATACAAGTATCAACCTATTGCATTCCCTCATTTCCACCAGATCTCTGCTCAGGTGTCCCCTCCTCAGGAAGGACCTCATCCCTTTATTTAGTCCTTTGCCAAGTTTTGTTTTCCTTCATAGCATTTATCACTGATGCTTTCTTATTTTATATATTTATTTTCTTATTTGTATATTGGCTGTCTCCCCACCATAAGGTAGGCTCCGTGAAAGCAGGGTCTTTTTTCACAGTTGCATTCCCAGTGCCAAGGCCATGCCCTTGATCATTTTGAACAGGTGTCTCTCCTCCTCTCAGCTCCTCCTGATGCTGTCAGAGGAATGCTTAGAGAGCCTTCTGTCCTAGTCCCTGCATCTCTGTGACTGGCCCAAACCCTGGCACATATAGGACTTAGCTGACACAGGTGGAGGACAATCCAGTTATGTGGCTAAGAGTGTGCCTCACTCTGAGGCCAAACTGAATGTATCCATATCCTAGCTCTGGCACAGACCGACTGTGCACCTTGGGTAAGTCACTCAATTTCTCAGTTTCCACATCTTTCAAATGGGAAAATAAGAGTCCCCACCTCATAAGCCTGTTGTGAGGATTACATTCATATGTTAATTTAAAGTGATCAACACATAGCTAGTGTTCCATATACCTTGCCTGAGGACATCTGGGAGTAAGCTTTACTTACTATGCAAGTCACTTCTGTGTGCCCCCCACGTTGTAAAAGTCGCTACCCTGCTCTGCCCCTCTTTTCCATTAACCACTTCACAAGCATCCTGTAAGAGCACTTGTATTGTAGATGGTCCTGCTGAGCCAGGGAACTGGATGGTTCTCCAACTGCTTTTGTTTTTCACATAAGAGGAGACCCTTGGGCTTCAAGAAGGTGTTATCAGCCTGCTCTTCTTAATTGGCAAATCACTTACGTTTAACCAGGTTTGGAAAAGGCCCAAGGGAAACCGGATGTTATTCTCAGCCTAACTAGCTGAGACTAGCTGGACCTAGAGCATCCCTAGGGCAGGAGAAAGAAAAGCTTCCCACAGAGGAGGAATCTTACCCACAAGCCCTAGGACACTGAGAGTAAAGGAAGCACTGGTGTCCTAAACAGACCTGGTGGAGAAAGGAGATGGCAAGCCGTTTATGAAAAGAAGAGAAATCACCCAGTATGCAGGACTGGCTTGGAAAGAAGCCCCTGAGACCCTCAAGTCCACTTTGCTATATGCCCCTGTTAGGGAGGGTCCCTAACCCAAGTTACTGTGTTTTACTTGTACTAACCCGCTCCCCTCCCCAACCCCAGATCCATGAATTTGGTTCAAGTTCATTTACTAATTTCGGGTAAACCCAATTCCATTAATATTTACTGAACACCCACAAGGAGCTGGGCAGTGTTACCTGGCAGTCCCAGGAATCCTAGGAACCAGCATTCCACAGCCACATCCCAGAAAAATAACCCTGCCTGTCTCGGAGCATCCTCATTTCCTTGGAGTCAGCTTCTGGGTCTTGATTCCCGCAAAACCCCAACACTACCCTTGTACTTGGGGATCCCAGTAGGCTCCCGCGGGGCCTCCTTGAAACGCTGGAGGATTACGTGCCCGGGAATAGGAAGGGCTGGGGAGGTCAGGATAGAATTAGGGGGAAGGACCAAGGTGCGTCTCCCCCTCAAATCGTGTTACAATCAGAAACCGGCCGTGCTCCCAGTCCCCGATTCAGGCGTCTAGAGGCTCTTCCAGGAACCGCCTGGCATCCTGGGCGGTGGACTTTGGCTGGTCTGGGGCTCACATCTCCCTCTCCCCCCTCTCTCCTCCCTCCCGGCTCGGTGCCTCACTGAGGGGCGTGTCCTGCCCTACCTCCCTTTCACAGTGGTCCACTCCTCCGGTTACGGCGGCGGCGGCGGCGGCGGCATCAGCGGCAGCTGCAGCTAGAACAAGAGCAGCGATAGCTCCGGGCTTCCAGAGCAGGAGCTGTGGCCACGGCACCTGTGCAGAGCAGGAGTGGCAGGACAAGGGGGTGGGGTTCGAGCCAGCCACTCTCTGAGCCGGAAGGAAGGGGCACCTCCCAGCCCCTCAGCAATCCGCTGCTCCGCAGACTCTCGACAGAGCTGGGAATCCTGGTTGGGGTAGACATGTGCAAGACCAGCTAGAGGGCTGGGCCAGGTAAACATTTGGGTCAAGTGTGGAGAGGAAGGGAAAGCTGTTTCTGGGACCATGACAGCTTCCCGCCTGGACTTTGAGGAGGTGGAAACTTTCCTGGACAGGCATCCAGAGTTGTTTGAAGATTACTTGATGAGGAAGGGGAAGCAGGAGCTGGTGGAGAAGTGGCTGCAGAGGCACAGTCAGAGCCAGGGGGCTTTAGACTCAAGGCCGGCGCTGGCTGGCATCAGCAGCGTGGCCCACGGCGGTGGCAGAGGCAGCAGAAGCGTTGGCGGTGGCACTGGACCAAATGGCTCTGCCAACAACCAGCCCACTCCAGGTGCGGGGGACTGTGGTGGGGTTCCTCTGAGTCCCAGCTGGGCCAGCGGTACCCGGGGTGATGGGAGCCTGCAGCGAAAAGCTTCTCAGAAGGAGCTAAGGAAGAGTTTTGCCCGCTCCAAAGCCATCCACGTGAACAGGACCTATGATGAACAAGTGACCTCCCGAGCCCAGGAGCCCCTGAGCAGTGTGCGGCGGAGGGCGCTTCTCCGGAAGGCCAGCTCTCTGCCCCCCACCACAGCCCATATTCTCAGTGCCCTGCTGGAATCCAGGGTGAATTTGCCTCAATATCCCCCTACAGCTATGGACTACAAGTGCCACCTCAAAAAGCATAATGAGCGTCAGTTCTTCCTGGAACTGGTCAAGGATATCTCCAATGATCTTGACCTTACCAGCCTGAGCTACAAGATCCTCATCTTTGTCTGCCTCATGGTGGATGCTGACCGCTGCTCTCTCTTCCTGGTGGAAGGGGCAGCTGCCGGCAAGAAGAGTTTGGTCTCCAAATTCTTTGACGTGCATGCAGGAACCCCACTGCTGCCATGCAGCGGCACAGAGAACTCAAACGAGGTGCAGGTCCCCTGGGGCAAAGGCATCATTGGCTATGTCGGGGAGCATGGAGAGACAGTCAACATTCCTGATGCCTACCAGGTAGGACTTCGCATGGTACCCCTTCCAGAGCCCCGTTGGCCTGGGAGCCAAGCCATCACTTACCCTTTGGCATCCAGGAGCACATTAATTTAGACTCTTTACAATATAAATCTTGCTTTTGAAATTCCTTCTGAATTTAGACTAGTTAGAATGTTTCTACACCATCTTTGATGTCATGGTCTTTTCCTAACACACAGTGGCTTGTGGAAAATTCATACAGCGCATGGGCTACATTTTGCATCCAAATAATACCACCTGTTTCTCTGTCAAGATACTTTGCCTTTAAGAATACCAGTGTATGGTTTGAGAATGCATTCGTGAGGTGCTAGAGAAAGATTTCTACTCCAGATTCCAGTGTTAGTCTGAAGGAAATGGGCATGTTGATGTCTCTGATGTCTTTTGGGGGACAGCAATGTAGTGTGTTCTCATTCAAGGTTGGAAAGGGAACCAAGTGCCGATTTTCCTGTCCCCTTCTCTAGCTTACAGTTGCAGGAGTTCCAAGGTGGGGAAAAAGAGGCAGAGAGGCAAGTCAGGGGAAGAATGGGCCTCTGACCCATTTGTATCTGTTTGACCCTTTTTACCATCTATTTTAACTGTTTTTTGTTGTTCAGTTTAAAGAGGTTGGACAAATAGAGGGGTTATTTATCTTCAGGCTGGAATACAGCATTATCTGCAGTCAGCTTTTGACCAGAATGAGCAGGAGTTTTTCTCATTTGTGGAACAAATAAAAAATTGATAAATTTTTAGCAACTCCGAAGGCAATGAGCAGGATAAACATTTTAGTTTCAAGTGGAAAAGGAAACCCAACAACATGCTGTCATCTGGCATTTCTAAGCCTTTCATTTTCACAGTGATTTGAACTTGATGTTAGATCCTGAATCTGAAAGCCAGTCCTAATTTCTTTATATCTATTCCCTGAACATGGTGAAACTGGATGCTACTTTCTATGAGACTTCTGCAGGGTTCATAAGAATTGAAAGTTTCTTATCCTTGGTTATGAAAGTATTAGATGAGCACTTCTTCCAGTTGTCTAATAGAGCTACACGTTTTTCTAGGGTTTGGTTGCTGTTGATCAGAATAGCAAAAGTGGTGGGAAGCATAATAAAGGTAAAATTTTCTCTATTTCATCTCTAAGTTGACAATTTTACATAGAAAATTGACTAGCTTGTACTGAAACCAAGTTTCAAGTTTTTGTGAGGTGTCTGTCAATATAACACTTTAATGTTAAGGGATGCCTGTCAAAATACCATTTCGGTTAACCTTTTGTTATTGATTAGGTGCATTATTCATGATATCCTTCTTGAAGACTGATAGGTTTAGGTCAGATGATCAATGAATGATCTTTAACAAGTGTCTATTTCTCTACAATCCCAGAAAGGCACTGGAAGAAATAAAAGCATTTAATAATTGATATGTTGAAGATTCTGTAAAACGTTGAACAAACTCTTTTCTTTCCCAGTATTTCCACATCCTTTGTGTGTGTTTGGGCTAAACAATAATCCCTCCCTAGTTTATGATATTTGTGATAGCCTGGGCTTATAGTCTTTTCTCATTCTTGCCTTTTCTTTTTCTTCACCAATTGATTTTCTGCCATTTATATAGCTTTTATTTCTTACTCCCCTCCTTCAGTTCCTAACTTTTATTTGATACTGTTTATATACTGTCTTTTCTTCAAGAGCATAATTCCCGGCTTCCTCAGCAGTTAACTTGTTTCCTGCTGACTGTAGCTTAGAGGTGTTATCCCAGGCATAGAAAAATCAGATTTTCAGCTGCTGATGTTTCTTCTGGGCCCTATTCTTTCTCTGTAGACAGAGGGTAAAGCAAAGCTGCCTTTTAATGTTTGAAAGCTGATATTGGGAAAGGAGATTTTGTTTTTCTTCCCCCGCAGGGTAGTAATGATGGCTGTAAAGACTGAGTTGTTGGGAGGGCTGAGAAAGTCAGGGAGGGGAAAGGGTGTCACATGGGTTGACAGTTTAAGACCTTAGTTCACGCCTTGTCTTCATTTTAATTGGCTTAGAAAGTTTCTAAGTGCTCTTTCCCCATTAGCTTCTACTGTATCTTTTTAACCGAGTGTGTTTTTCTTCATTGTATTTATGCTCCCCTTTGGGGAACTCCTTTTTTCTTTACTATGGTACATCATGGTCACCACTAGTGTGCCCTTGGGAGAATTTCTTGATCTCAATTTCCTCACTTGCAAAATGGGAATAACAACACCTAGATGGCAAAAAAAATTTGTTGTTTTAAAAATAAAATGAGATACTGCATTAAATTCTCTAAAACAGTATACCTGGCACACTGCAATTACTCAGCAAATGGTAGCAGTTTATGATGACTATGAAGGTCGGACAATTAAGTTCTCAAGCTTAATTGCCCGACCCTTTTGTATGATGATATCTAGTTTGCTAGTATTCTTTTTCTTTCTGCTTATCTCATTTTCAATTGTTTTTCTCCTTATCTGGGGCTGAGGTGTGAACTTAGCATGTTTTGACCAGCCTGATCTTTCTCTACCCTTAAATTAAATATTTTTAAACCAGCTTTACATTCACAGAATAGAGAAATATTTACCCTTCTACTCTGCTTAAGATTTCTCTAAATGTGATAACACTTGACCATAGCCTATCCTATCAAAAGTTCCTCTTAATAATTCATGCAATATAGTAACTCATGCAATGTAAACTTTTTATAGAGTTGTATTAATGTTGCATCCTTCCCAAGTTCTAGTATTTTCCCCATCCATTTTCTGCTGTTATAGATTTCTCTTAATGAAAACTGATGACTTTCCAAATGCATGTTCTTTTATCATGATGTTATTATAATTCTGATCATATATTGTAAACATCTCAAAGTTTCTATGTAAAAAATATAACCATCCTCCCTGATTCTTTATTAACTACTATATTTTTAAGGTATTTCTTGTTCAGGTTCAACCAGTGTACCTTCCTTTTCTTCAAAAGATAAAATTACACATGGAGTTTCACATTTTAATCACTTGATAATTGGATTGATGATCCTCTTGGAGGCTCATAATATGTGTGAGAGAAAGGCATTGAAGACACTTATGAGATTATGATAATAAGCATGGCATTCTGGAGTCAAGGATAGACTAGTTAATGAAATATTAAAGTTGAAGAAAAGTTTTGACAGCAAAAATACTCCTCAGCTTATCTCATTATTTTTCATTACTTTCCTCAATTAGTCCTAAAAAACAGACTTGAAACTTGGAGACAAATACAGAACTACAAGTGGAAAAAAAGTTTCATTTCAGGTACCCAGTATGGATCCCAGTGACTGCACTTTACCTTTTCCCCTGACAGTTATAAGTTATTAAACAGCCCATTTTAATACAGTAATGAAAAAAATGCCCTCAAGAGGTTGAAAATAAGAGCACTCAAGTAACAGGTGTTCTCTTTGAGATTATTTAAAGCATATAGAACATAGCATTTTAAACATTAAAAAAAGTGTGAGATGATATTTTTGTTAGTGTTGATAATAATGACACAGGTGTTTGATGGGCTTTGGGTTTGAAAAGCAGCCAGGATGTTTTGTTAGGTGAACTGAAGGGAGGGACAGAGATGATGCAGAGGGGTTACAGGTGTGCCAGGCTTTCAGAAAACCTGATCTATTTACACAACAGATTCATTTATTCATTAGTTCCAACAGACATACACTGAATGCCCATTATACCTAAGGCTCAGGTTGGGGCCTGTGGGTGTACAAAGGTGACAGGCCATGCTACTTGCCTTCCAAGTGCTTACAGTCAAGAGGCATGTACTATTCACAAACAATTAATGCCAAGCCATACTTAAAGATGCAAACTAAATGGCATTGTTCTTAGAGGACAATGGAGTCACATTGTGACTGAGCTTATGATGGAAGACTCCATGGAGGAGGTGCCATTCAATCTGGGTCAAGGGTTAGATTTTACTGTTGGAGATGACTGTGGCGTGAGGGTAAGTGATCCAGGTACAGCAAAATGGCTTCAGCAGAGACAATGACGAGTAAGCCCAAAACACGTATAGGAGACAGTGAGTGGTTTAATTTGGCCGAAGTATTGCATATGCTATACAATGAATATTCAAAAATAAGGTGAGGGCAAAAGAAGAAGGGACCTTGAATACGTGACTAAAGAATTTGAGCTTCACTAATAGTAGGCCACAGGGAGTCCTTGAAAACATTCTAGCATGATCGGTGTGATGTTTTGGGTAATCTGGTGGCAGTGGCTGAATAGGCTGAACAAGAGAGTTTCAAAGCTGTGAAAATAATTAGGAGTCTGTAATGATGGTCTGGTGGAGCCACGATGAACAACTGAACTAAAGCAGGAACAGCGGGAATGGACAGCAGGGGACATATGGGAGATGTCCTGCAGGTGTGAATTTGGGCTAGGAGAGAATAAAGTCAGTAATGACTCAGAGATTCTAAACCGGGCTGATATGGAGAAGGGCAATGCTGTCATCAAAAACAGGAAGAGAAGCTGGGTAACTAAAGGTTTTAAGTAGAGTCAGCTACGTAATTTGTGGAGCTCAGTGCAAAGTGATAAAGCAGGAGCCTGGTTGGAGGTAGAGAAGTCAATCTTCCCTTCCTGAGGGTCTGCTGCCCCAACCCACAGCAGATGTGCGATGCCCAGGTGATTTCAACCTTCATGCAGAGAAATTCTCAGTACCTGGATTGGGGGTCAGTGAGAGGCTCCCGCTGAGTTGCCTGCTGAATTTGCCATTAGTGCTACCAGCTCCGGGTGGAATGACTACAGCCTCGCTCCTCCCCTTGGTGGCACGGACACACACCTGACCCCCTTCCCCACCACACACACCTCAACCAAGAGCGGAGGGCAATGGCAGATATGGGATGTGGGCCTCTCCCCCATGCAGTGTGGCCTGGTTGTGGCTCCTAGTCTCAGGGCAGGGTTGACCAGGGGGTAGTGTGGGCAGGGCCCAGGATGCCAGGTATCAAGAATTAGTGGCCACGAACCATTCCTGGGCAGGCAGTGGGAGGGGAGACTGAGT